GAAAATGTAGGAAAAGTATAGGAGAAATATATGGACTTTGTATTGATGAATATTGCTGGTGAATTTTGTAAGTTGTCCCCCCTCCTCTATGTAAGGGGTCTATTTATACATATTTTGGGCCTAGAGCCCTACAAGGAATAAGAGTTCTAGACTGCCTCATATTGGGAGTTTGTGTTACATTGGAAATAATACGACCTAATTCTACTATACTAGCAATAATGAGTCCAATTCTAATTATATTGAGAATAATAGGCCCAATCTTTAACAAACTCTTGAGTTGCTCCGCACCGTATATCTCTCTTGGGCTTTCTTGATCCAGTCGCTTCCTTGGGCCGGTCCATGTGGCCTAGCCCTAGTATGCTATCCATCATCCAGTACCCCACTTTCTTAAGATTTTGAAGTCGATGTCTTAAGGAAGTATCTCGAGATATTCACGAGTCAGCTATGGTGGTGATAATAATAATAATAATAATAATAATAATAATAATAATAATAATAATAATAATAATAGTAATACTAGTAATAGTAATAATAATAATAATAATAATAATAATAATAATAATAATAATAATAACACCTAACATGAATAGGAAAAAAGGCTGGTTTCTTTTGTTATGATTATTATTATTTATTTATCTATTTAATGCATATATACGTATGTTTTATATAGATACATACACAACATCTTAACTATAATAAAGCTATATGGTTTGTGAAGTAATTAATGTTACAATTAATGCCACAACATCCTTTATTATTAAAAAAAAACACAACATTTGAAAAATAAAATAGGTATATATTATATAATCATATAAAAAATGTAATTTTGAAAAATAAAATAGCTATATATTATATAATCATATAAAAAATGTAATTTTGAAAAATGAAATAGCTATATATTATATAATCATATAAAAAATGTGTTGAATTAGAGTTTAAATTTACTCATACAAAATTTGAAATTTGCTTTCCAAATATAATTATCTTAGTTATTATTTGTATTGTGAAAATTATAATATAGATGAAATACAATTAAGAATATATCAATGTAATTATGTAAATTCTCTCTATAAGTTTATTTGAATATGCACATAATTATAGATTATATTAACCATACAAAATTTTAATTTTAATTTTAATTGCAATTTTGTATTCTATAAAAATAATAAATACTTGACCAATGGAAGCTCAAAAATATTATTATATTAAACAATTTAAATTATTTTAGTTTTTCTATTTTTTATTTATATTTATAATAACATAATTTTTTCCCGTGCATTGCGCGGGTGAATTACTAGTATGCAAAGTAACAGGTGGACCCTGTATATCTACTATCTACTATACTAATAAGAGCCCAAGAGAGTTAGGCCTATAATGGGTAGAAAAAATGGCGGTCAAAATTTTTAATCAAATGAATGTCGACTCAGATTGATCAGATTTTAATTTTTCCTTAAGACTTCCTAATTTATCCTTAATGAATATGATTATCCGTTAACTTTTCCGTTAAATATTATCTTTTCCATTAACTTCTGTTAGTTCACCGTTAACTTACTCATTGATTTCAATAAGAAAGGTCTTAGGTTCGAACCTTATCCCAATCAAAGTTGGCATAATTAGTACTCTATTTTACTCTTATTAAATTAAATAATAATTTAGTAGCTACAACAAAAAATAATACATTTGCATTTCTTTAATTTAGAATTATGTGTCTACAATGTCTTTATTCAAAAAAAAATTATTCATTATCAATAAATTAAATAAGAGAAATAATTTCATTAGTTATATTGCCTTTATTTTTCTCAAATATCAAAATTCTTTACATTCAAATTCATCAATTGATTATATTCGCTACATTGTCCCTACAATGCCTTTATTAAAAAAAAAATTATTCATTATCAATAAATTAATTAAGATAAATAATTTTAGTAGTTATATTGTCTTTATATTTCTCCAATGTAAAAATTCTTTACATTCAAATTCATCAATTGATTATATTCACTACCTTGTCTATTATCTTACAAGAAGTATATTTGGTGTACTTCCTTGACTTCCCATGCTTGATTTTCTGAGAGATGGAAGAGCTTCCAACAAAAATGCAGCAACAATTGCAAAATCAATAGCCTGGGGAGTTCAACAAATTAAAGGGGATGCTTCTTGTCTATATCTCCCGTTCTCATCCAGTACGCCACTCCGCCAAATATTTCTGAGAACGTCTCCCGTTCTCAGATTATGATATCCCATACTCCATTTGACCACTTCCTGTCGACCATGCTTTATACCCTACTGTCTCCTAGACTTTATACCGACTAGACTTCTCTCCTATAACCCTTAGACTCTACACTAAACCCTTCACCTGTAACTTCCCGTTATATGATATTGTCAGGTTCTTTATTCCAGCAGTTATATGGATTTATTTCACAATAATTTGATTACTACTCCATGCATGACGACCAGTGAGGGGTTTGAAGTCCCTTGACCACCGAGTCGACCACTGAGTGGTAGGAAGGCAAGTCGACCACTGAGTAGTAGAAGGCCGAGTCGACCATTGAGAGATGGGAAGGTCTATCGACCACCGAGTGGTGGGAAGGTCTGTTGACCACTGAATGGTGGGAAGGTCTGTTGACCACTGAGTAGTAGGAGGCCGAGTCGACCATTGAGAGGTGGGAAGGTCTATCGACCACCAAGTGGTGGGAAGGTCTGTAGACCACTGAGTGGTGAGATGACCAGTCTAGATGATTGGTTCGCCTAGATGACCAATCGGGGTGACCAGCTAAGATGACTAGTCTGGATGACCAGTTGAGGTGACCAACCCACCCGCGCAGTTTGCCCAAACTAACTGCCAGAATTCAGAGGGCGTTTGAGGTGGTTTGTCGATATTTGAGGTCGGTTGTCGTGACCACTAGTTGGGGCGTGTGGCATGTCTTCCTCTATGGATGAGGTTTCCAATCTCCTTTTGTAGAGTGGTGCATTCTTCGGTGGTGTGACCTGCCTTCCGATGGTAGTGACAATATTTAGGTCCTCTAGCGGCAGGTTTCATATACAGCGACCGGATGATTGGTTGTGAGAGGGGTGGTAGTGGTCGGCTCGTGGCTGATGTATGGCGGGGTAATTTTGCATTGTACGCTAGTCGGGACCCTAATTCGGGGACCGCCCTGTAACAGTGGTTGATGGGTTCCTTGTGGATACTTGATTTATTTTTATTTTCTGACGGTTGATCACCCAAATGTGTTCTTATATCTTCGCAAGGTCGTTCTTCTTTCCTCTTCCTTTTCTGTCGCAAGGCTTCCTCTGCATCTGCGTATTTATGGGCCCACTGGATGGCTTGGGCATAGGTCTCGGGGTTTTTTCTTCGCAGGCTAGTGAGTAAATCCTCGGACCTTAATGTTTCCATGAACAATGTTAGCGTTGTTCAATCGTCCAAGTCCTCTGCTATCTGCATTTGTTCTTGCCATCGCTTTAGAAGTTTTTCCAATGTCTCTGACTCTTCTTGTTGTACTGAAGTTAAGGCCATAGAGAATTTTTTGTCTCTTATGTTTCCAGCGAAGTGCGTTAAAAATTGCTTTGCCAAGGTCTCGAAACAATTGATAGATTGGGGTGGTAGTGACGTGAACCATTGCTGCGCTACCCCACTTAGTGTTGAGAAGAAGGCATGGCAGTACATAGGACCATCCGCTCCTATCATCCTCATCCCTGTTCGAAAGTCGATCAAGTGGTCATCGAGGTTGCCCCTCCCGTCGAACGTGGGCATCGCAGGGCATTCAAAGTCTCTTGGTGCGCGATATTCTTGATTTTCTATAGTGAACGGGTTGGTGGACAGCGGAGACCGAGTGGCCGCCCGGTCCTTTCTACCCTTAGTCTCCATTTGGAGGTCGGGGGTCTCACCACAACTTTCTAGCAGACTATCTAGAGAACCTTCTCTATTACGCTCCTCCCCTTGCGATTCTTGCGCGCGGAGGAATGCCATTTGAGCGGCTCTCGCTCGTCGTTGAGGATTGAGCCTTGTTTTCCGTCGCGGTCGTTTAACTGTTGGGTTGTCCTGTCCCAGTCGTGGGGTGGGGGGTTGTTGGCTTGAAAGTCCTAGGCGGTCAAGGATTGAAACCGTGAGGTGATGTCCTCTGGATGGGTCAGATCCCTATGTTCTCTCGAGTGACCTGTCCCTGTTGTTAGTTCTGTCCGAATGATATTGACGAGGGGGGTCCAGTGGGAACTCGCCTCTCAGTATGCAGTCATGCTGCAAGACTCCCAGGAGGTGCTCAGCGGCCTCCACTACAGTGGGAAGAAGTTCGACCGGTTGGGTCTGTGAGATGCCAGCGACCGGTGAGCGTGTGCTCGGATGAATTGTCCCCTATTCTCGAGGAATCTCCAGGTTGACACCTCCCTTCGGGGGCACTGACCGACCGGACAACATGTGAGAGGTAGGCTGATTGAGGGTTTCTCGCAGATCCCGAACGGACCAGCAAGTGCGGGTTTTAAGGCGAGTGCTCCCCATGATTAGGGTTTCGATCGTTTGCTTTAAGTTTGAGGGACGAACATAAACTTTTCGCATCGGTCCCCACAGACGGCGCCAATGTTGGTTTTATGACTTTTGGGCAGTCAACGGCAGGCCAACATTACCGTTAGAGTAACGAAAATGTAGGAAAAATATAGGAGAAATATATGGACTTTGTATTGATGAATATTGCTGGTGAATCTTGTAAGTTGTCCCCCCCCCCTATGTAAGGGGTCTATTTGTACATATTTTGGGCCTAGAGCCCTACAAGGAATAAGAGTTCTAGACTGCCTCATATTGGGAGTCTGTGTTACATTGGAAATAATATGACCTAATTTTACTATACTAGCAATAATGAGTCCAATTCTAATTATATTGGGAATAATAGGCCCAATCTTTAACAAACTCTTGAGTTGCTCCGCATCGTATATCTTTCTTGGGCTTTCTTGATCCAGTCGCTTCCTTGGACCGGTCCATGTGGCCCAGGCCTAGTATGCTATCCATCAGAACCAGTAGCCCTTGCAAGAACATGAGCAACATGATTCGCTGACCTATTGACATGGTGAACAGACACGTTCCCAATGTCCCTGGCAATGCTACAACATTGCTTAATAACAAGTCCAACATAAGATAAGTCTGAAAAACGTGAATTGAGAGCGGAACAAAAATTAAGGCAATCTGTCTCTAACAAAACATTAAGAAAATGATGAGCCTTCAACCAAGATAACGCCTCCCTTACTGCCATTGCTTCAGCCATATAGGGATCCTTATCGCAGATGATCTTGGCACCATAAGCCGCTACAAACTTTCCGTTGGCATCCCTAACAACAACACCAAAACCCACTCCGCCAGCAAAGATAGCGGCATCAACATTGCACTTAATGGTCCCAATAGGAGGAGCAGACCATGTACTCACCGCGGCCAAAGGTGCTGATGTACTTCCCCCTGCTGGCTTCGTGTATGCATGTAACCAAAGAGCAGAAAGAGACTCCATATTAGCTCTCAAATCATCCACGTTAGGCACATCATTTTTCCACATCACATTGTTGAACTCACGAATTCTTTTGACTTTTAGGATAGCACATACGGGGCCAGCTTAGCCATGAGATGCCTTTACTCGACGACCCGCCACTCTCCCACCAAAACCGATTCATTAATTGTTCTATGCTCATGCAAGTGGTTTGTGGCATTAAATAAACAGACATTGTAAAAATAGGTAAGGCTTGGACAACACTTTTTAATAAAATTTCCTTACCCGCTCTTGAGATACATTTATGCTTCCAAGAATCCATTCGCTCCTTTATTTTCTGCTCGATGAAACGGAATGTAGTAGTCTTATTTCGCCCTAAGAAGGATGGTAGACCAAGATACTTCCCCAGATCATCAGTACACTGAACCCCAAGAAAGTCAGAAATATGATTGCGCATAACAGTAGTAATCCATGCGCTAAACATAACATTTGACTTATCGAAGTTAATGAGTTGACCCGAAGTAGCACAATACAAGTTCAAAGAGTCCCGTACAGCCTGTACCTTCCGTGGGCAAGCTCTGAAAAACAACAGACTATCATCAGCAAACAGTAAATGTGAAACTGACGGGGCCCCTCTAGCTATCTTGATCCCATGAATATCACCCCTTGCCTCGGCCCGATTAAGAAGAGTAGATAGGCCCTCTGCACAAAGGATGAAGAGATAGGGTGATAACGGATCTCCTTGGCGAATGCCTCTAGATGGTGTCACAGTACCAATAGACTCGAAATTCACCGTAATATTATACTGAATAGATGAGACACACATCAAAATCAACTGAGTCCAAGGCGGGTCAAAACCAAGAGCCGAAAACATTCCGGCTAGAAAGTACCACTCCATCCTGTCATAAGCTTTGGCCATGTCCAGCTTTAAGGCAGCCCAGCCCACTGCTCCTTGTCTCGCCCGCCTTAGATAATGGCCAATCTCAGCAGCCACCATTATAGGCAAATTATGTTGTGCATCCGTATGCACCATGCATGGTGCATACGGATGCAAAAATGACTCGTTTTATTAAAAACACACGTCTCACTTAAAAAAAATTCAGTTTCGATTCCCAACAACAACATTATATTGTGCATAATTTGAACTAAAATTCCAGAATTGATGAACTAAAATTCCAGAATCGATGAACTAAAAATCCAGAATCGATGAACTAAAATTCCAGAATCGATGAACTAAAAATCCAGAATCAATGAACTAAAATTCCAGAATCTATGAACTAAAATTCCAGAAATTCCAGAATGAATGAACAATATAATGCTGTCGAGGGAAATCGAAACTGATTTTTTTTAAGTGGGATGCGCATTTTTAATAAAACGACGTCGTTTTTTGCATCCGTATGCACCATGCATGGTGCATACGGATGCACATCATAACTATTGACCATTATATTGTCCGAAATTAGACGACCCTTAATAACCGCACTCTGCATGGGGGATATAATCAATTCCAACACCTCCTTGAGGCGATTAGCCAGGACTTTCGCAATGATTTTGTAGGACACGTTACATAAGGCGATTGGCCTAAGATCACCAACCTTTTCCGGAACCATTTTCTTGGGAATCCGATGTTGGTATCGTTTAATCCCGTTGGGATAGACTAGTTGTTGAGGCACTCCAAAACAAAACATGAAAGATCGTAGCCAACTACAGGCCAGAATTGCTGATAGAAAGCAGGCGTCATACTATCCGGTCCTGGCGCTTTCTCGGGTGCCATCTCAAATAAGTCCGTCTTCACCTCCTCATGGGTAAACGGTTTCAACAACATGTCGTTCATCTCGGTATTTACCCGGGGCCTAACGTGCTGTAGGAACGTACTGCCATTGGAAGCCGACTGAAAGATTGAGGAATAATATCTCATAATAACTTCGGCCTTTAATAGCGAGCCCTCCACCCATTCATCGGACTCATTCTTTAGCTTTGACAAGTAGTTTCTTCGCTTACGTGCCGTGTCCAATTTATGAAAGTATTTAGTATTGTGATCACCTTCTTTTAACCAAAGCATATTCGACCATGCAGACCTCTCTTCTCAGAATGGTACATGATGTCGTTAAAATCTCAAATAATATCCCAAGGGAGATTTGAACGATGTTTTAAGTTACGGAGAAGATCCCACGATTCTTGCCGCCTTGACCCCTCCGGAAAGCCATAGAAGCTGGTTAGCCTCCAGTGCGATTTACCAGGTTCAGAAACTATTACATCTATATGATTGGACGAATAGCTCAATAAATTAGCAGCATCCTTATCCCTCAATAGGAGAGCCAGCCCACCACGATCAATAATTAAACACCCCTCAAAACCCATACGTCTTCGATCAATAATTTACTCTTAATTATTCGAAAAGTAGTAAATTTTGATTTCTCTCCTAATGAAAGTCATGAAAAAGGTTCATGATTAAAGTTTTTAGAGGAAAAAGAAAATTTCTAATGTTTGCTTATACATTTAATTTGTTAGACAAGAAATGGTGAAATTTCAAAACAACAATCTAAAATCCCTCAAAGATTTTCGAAGACTTCTGATACCATATGGACTAGATTTTTAATTTTTCAAATAATTGAGCGAATAAATTTTTAAAATTGAAAAATGAGAGACTAAATTATATAATTAATAACAATTGAGAGACCAAGGGCGTTATTATTTTCAATTGAAGAATGTGTTCCGACCAAATTAAATATTGTACGTGTTCCGACCAAATTAAATATTGGGGCGTTTGTCTATTGCTACATATTTATTGTTAGATCATAATAATTTGTGGTCCGAATTCATTCAGACCATATCCACCCACATCGCATGCAATAGACTATTCTTAGATCATAATAATTTGTGGTCCAAATTCATTCAGACCATATCCACCCACATCGCATGCAATAGACTATTCTTGCGCTTCATCGCTGATTGCGTCGCTCCACCTTGTGCATTCCTCATAACTCTCTAATTTAGAATGTATAAATAGCAGGCTTTTCTATTCTTTCAATGTACCTCATTATTACATCAACATTGATTCATCATTTATTCCTTCATTCCTTACGTAGCATATATATATATATATATATATATATATATATATATATATATATATATATATATATATATATGTGTGTGTGTGTGTGTGTGTGTGTGTGTGTGTGTGTGTGTGTATTCAAATGAGGACAAGTATATTATAGAGGACTGTGAGGACAGATGTAGTGTGTGCCATTAGCCTGTATGTCGTGTGCATGGCCGAATGTAGTCGTTTACCACAGTTTGTATGTCGCGTGCTAGATTTGTTAAGTTATAGAGGCTGTGTTCGAAACCTGATGTTTACATTTACTCTTGTGTGCCATTATGTATTAAGTTGTATGCCTGGTATTAATTTGTTGTGTGCCCATTATTTGTCCTCACAGTCCTCTATATATTGTTGTCCTCATTTGAACTCAACCCTATATATATATATATATATATATATATATATATATATATATATATATATATATATATTTCTTATTCTCTTTGGAGTTTAATATATATATTTTATATTTTCCCAATTCATCAATTTCTTATTTTGTCATTTTGATATTTTTTCTATTATTTAACTTCTATAATTCTCAATTTTCGATTCTTGGCTTCCGCATTGTTCCGCTATATTCCTAATATTTATTATTTTATATATAAATAAATCTTGTGTATAACCATTTCACGTTAAACATATAATACTTTTTAACTAAAATATAATGCTTTTTATGGTCTCATAAAAAATATTACATTTTAATTAAAAAAGTGTTACATATTTCATATGAGATAGATGGTTTTACACAGTATTTGATCAATGTTTGATGTTTGATTATATTGAAATAGACATCACATTTTTCAAGTTTCAACCATCAAAGGTCTTAGCCTACTTCGCTTCCCGGGCCAAACTTCTCAGGCCCTATGGCGATTCAGTTTGATCACTATGGCGATATCTTAAAATTCAAGTCATCCACCCCAAACCTTAAAGATTTAAAAGAAGCTGTAGTTTTTCGAAGGCCTACTTTAAGAAAAGTCTGCTTAAATTCCTATAGGAAGACGAGGAGCCTCGTATCTAGACTTGGCAATTATGAATATAACACGGAACGAAATACGAAAATAATAGGTTACTGCTCTAATGGCACTCGTGTTGTAAACGGGTTGATCCATTAAGAACCCGTTATATTTCGTGTGTTAACGGGTCAACCTGTTTAACATGTTAATATTATTGTGTTAAGCCGTTTACACAAACCCTTTTTATAACCCGTTAAGAATCTCGTGTTATTTAATATAAAAGGAAAGTATTTTTCTATTTATAATAGCTCAGAATGGATAAGATTAAAACAAATAGATAATATGAAATAATAGATTAAAACATTTCATCATGAAATTATTTCTCTTAGGGTTTCTTCATCGGCGCGGTGGTAGCGAGGCAATTTCGACGGCAAATTTACGCAGAAACAACACAAACGACATACTTCTACGATCACTGGCATGGCTGCGTCTGAAGCTGTGATAGCTGGACTGTCGGACAGATGGGCAGAGATAGTATTGGAAGACGAGGACGCCGGTGTTGAGGCGCCGGCGGTCGACGTTGGCGGATTCTTGGATGCTGGTCGGCCGATTCTTGACTCAACGATTGATCAAGGTTGAGTATATGCGACAGGTTATGGCCTCGGCATGGAAACCGGTTAGTGGTGTGCATATCACGGAGCTCCAACCGAATCTTTTCCAGTTTGTATTCCATCACATAACGGATGTCCGGAGAGTTATGGATGAGGGACCATGGTCCTTTGAGAATTGTACGCTGTTGTGTAAAGAGGTGAAGGATGGTCAGTTGCCGGAAGATATGGTGCTTGATACTGTGGATTTATGGGTGCAGGTGTATAACCTGTCGGTTGGCTATAATACGGTACCGGTACTTGAACAGACAGGGAACTTTCTGGGGAAATTCCTAAAGATCGATGAAAGACAGATGAAGGGGCCTCTCAAAGCGTTCTACCGATTTAGGGTTTGTATGCCCGTGGATAGACCTCTGAAAAGAAGGATGAAATTGATTCGGCGGGACAAGACTTGGGGATGGGTGAATTTCAAATATGAGAGATTACATACTTTCTGCTTTTTCTGTGGACTTTTAGGGCATTCGGAAAAGTTTTGTTTGAAAGCT